GTTTCCTATAAGAAATAACTATAGGTTTCCTATAGGACATTTCCGTAAGGGGCTAAGCCAAGGCAGTCGGCATTCAAGAACCAGTCCGGTGAACGGGGTCAGATTAATATCATTAAATCATCGCACAGCACACTGGCGAGACATAATGCGAGCAGAGACACATGACAATGTTCCTGGGCGGAAGACGATGGATCGTCAGGAAGATTCGTGAACATCTATCATTATCGGTATTTTATCATATTGGCATTTTATGCCTTTCGTAATCGGTATGAAGATACCAATCAAAATAGGCCTCACGATGGACACCTATTAATTGTTCTTGCATACGGAACCTAGCAAACTACGACCATGAGCAAATTATATACTTATAGCCTGATACCTATCTTGATAGTAACTATATATTATTCAATCTAGGGATAGGCTCATGCATACGGGCCATGGACTTCGAGTGCATCTAGTTGATTGCATTACATGAAAATATTGCATTTACGCGTCCTCGATTGACATCATTTGCACAGCTGTCACAGCCAGCAGAATTTAGGGAACTTCGAAGGCGCCAAACAAGTTCGCACTTTTGTGACGTCGTGGAATGCTGAACGGAAATGGTCAATTTTCAAATATCGATTTATTTATTTTTATTAAAGGAAAAGGCATAAACTGAAATGGCAATTCATATCAGTCTCTTCCCGATCGCGGTGGGTCGCCTGAAAGGCGTCTGCAAAACTGAAATGCATCTATAGCGGTGTATAACCGAGTCAATAGGGGGGGGGGGGTGAGTGGTCTTGCATCGTCGAGACGCATGTCAACCGCCGCCTTCCACTTCATTGTGTCGAAGAAAGCCTCGGGGCGATAAACCCTTGGGGCATGCATTGACCATTGAGGGATTCACACGTTAGCACGTGAGAGTGCATGGCCTCCTATTATCACCTCCCCTCCCCCCAGTCTGTGGCCTTATCTTGTGCGTCTTTCAGGATTCTAATGCGACCGCTTCCTCCGTTATTAGAGGCCGGTTTCATATGTTTATTTTTTTTTCAGATATCGATGGGGCAATACTTATCACCGGTAGACGAAGCTTCTAAGCTTAAAAGCCTGATATTCACCCCATAGGTTCATCTGACAGGGTATTCGTAGCCTGTTGCCTTGAATGAGTTGGTGCTTCCGTGCCTTGTCTAAATTCCCTGTTAGGATATCTGCCTTCGCATGTTTCTCTTTGACCGATTAAATGAAGAAAAAAGTGAGTCTTCTCCATGGCTTTTAAACAGAGTCACGTGAAGAAAATGTAAAAAATATTCCTCTCTTGGGAGTAGAAAAAAAAAACCAGACGAATACATTTTATATATACATTTTTTTAAAGCAGATTTCAGTAAACACATCATTTTTCCCAGAGAACCGCCGTAACTGGAGGATTTCGAAGATCACGCACCCAAGGGAACCGATTCGGCACGACCACGTTGTGTCAACTTTGAGAAAAGGTTGAAACGCTGAGACTTGGTTGAAATCGAGAATTCGACGAAAAATCAACATCGATGAAATGCTCGTAATTGACCGTATATTCGGCATTTAGTGACTACTCGTGAATTTGTGAAGTCGTTCAGAGGCTATTAAGCGCAAATTCGTTTTTCATCATATTCTCAATGTTGTCTCTACGTGGAATTATCCACATCATATCGACAGAAAATAGGTTCAACGAATTGACGGAAGATGGCGCCTAAACGCCGATTCGGCGATTCTTACCCTGATGCCCAGAGAGAAGTCAGTACTCTGCATTTTTAATGCATTACCCGATTCTGTTGGCGACCTCCACATCTGTTCAAACAAGAGAAATTCCACTGTCTTCGGATTGAATTTCGATTAAACATGAATAAATGATGTGTTTGAAACGCATCACATAGAGGACGGATTTTTTCATGCTCAAAATGCATCAAATTTATGCCTTGAACATTCGTTTTGTGGTGGTATTAAAGGGTAGGGTAGCACTAGCCAAGGCAAATGGTAAGATCCCGAAAATTCCTAACGAAAATACCAATACAATTAATTCATAACCCGATGGAAACAATGCGAAAGTGTCATGAATATTTTTTTTCGGACTTAAATATCTTTCTCTTGGTCCGAGTCATGAGTTAGCCGTCATCACGTCTATTGTGATGGAACCAGATTCACGTTTCACTTCAGCAATTGTGAATCCCAAGCAACACATTACGCCAAGGTAACGCCTCTGTAATGGGACTTCAGCCAAATGACGTAGCAATAACGTCACATGAACGTCACATCGAAGTACATGTTGCTTGGGCACTACGATTGAATGCAACATTTGCAAGGCACGGTTATCTTTTAAAAGAGGTAGTCACCAAAAATGAAGCATAGTCGGTGTGAAGAAACATCGGAACAAACTTCAGACTGGAAAGTTATTTTCAGCATCCAATGACTTCATTGTGGTCACATGAGGTAGGCAATACATTTTTAATAATTTAAATATGACGGGAAATCTGTTTCCCATTTCAATGAAGGCTATAAATTATAAGACCTGAACTACTATAGGCTCCGGAAGAGGGGCTAGTGCTACGTACGACGGTACGTTAACCGCCTCTGGTAGTAACCGTACTACCTACGCAGGCGGTGAGCGTCGGAGAAGTGAGGTATTTGGGACCTCAGAAAACGAATAATTCTTCATATTCTATGTCAGGCACCGTACGTAATCGTTCTACAGCATTGTGCATGCTGAATATTCCAATTATCTCTATGCTAGGATTAATGCCGTCCATTCGTGCCGTGGACTGCAACGGTTAGTCATACCGAAGTGTAGGGTCCACGACAGCTTCTGGATCGTTGGGAGGCCCCATCTTGCAAGTGCCTCCATCATGCCAATGAAGATACGTGAACTGTCGAATGTGGCACTCCCAATACTCGTCCGTGAACTGTTTTAGATGCCTGCAACCTGGCAGAGATTGGCTATAGAACTTGGCCCCCAATTTCTTGAATTCTGGATGCTCTCCCAATCGCAGTACCAAACGAATGGCTGGAAAATGAGAGTAAATCAGAAAAAGGAAAAGATCTTTAAGCACGGCTGGCCTCCATATTAATTTAATTAATATAACTTTACAAGTCATTCATGACTTGGAACGTTATATTAACTAATTAAATGTTTAGGCTTATTTACTTGGTTTTAACGTATTTGATTTGGTTTAAATATGCTGATAAGATTTTTATTCCAAACGTTAGCTAATAACAAAATTGTTACCCTTCACAAGGTTATTAATATGCCGAGAATACACATAGGCGGCAGCATGTTCACAGAGTATGAGAACCACCAGCATATATAAATATTTCAGAGAAAGGTTTTATCAACTGCATACTGAAGAACAGATGAAGAGAACTAAAAATATAATTTTTACAGATGTTGTAAAAAATATCCTAGATATATAGGATAGTTATGCAAGTAAGTTACGTTTCCTTGGAAAACCAGCATTTCAATATCCCACATTTACTCAATTGCCACTGATAGGAAATGCTTTGTATACAAAAATAAACTGACAGACAACCTGTTGAAAATAAATCCTGACCGTGCGAATTCATGGAAATCTAAATGGGTGGTTGTGAAAAAGACCATATTGTCTTTTATGAAGCCGAAATATATTTATTTTGCATCTTTTACGTATTTTGCATACTTGGCGATTCCATGGTCAGACAACGTGAAATTAAAAAAACTCAAGATTTTCTTAATACGAGTTTAAAGCCTGCGATCTTTAAAGTGGCAATAAATCAATCTGGAAAATATGAAATAAATAATAAAATGAAATAATAAATGATTGAAAATGAACCCATAAATTTTGTGGAGGGTCACATGTCCCTGAAAGGTAGAGGCTAGATTGCCATCATATAATGGTAATCAAAATTTTATTTTAAAATTCGGTATTGGCTTTTCATAACTACCATAACATTAAAACGTGCTGCTAAAAAAAACTAATCGTCATTTTAAATAACATAAAACCGCCAAATAAGAAACCCTACAAGATAAATCATGCAGGCCTTCTCAGAATAGATACTTAATGAAGAGTGAGATACCTTCGATCGTGATCTTGACGTCATCAGGATCCTTGAAATAGTTTCCAATAATGATTGGGTGATCGAAAACGTTGGCGCTGCGCAACAATATCTTCCCTCGACTTTTTGGCCTTGTTGGATGGGGATAAACTGCGAAACCGGCTCGTAGCTTCAGTCCGGAGTAGGTTTCCCATGCCTAAGAAAGAAATGGTATTTTTTAGCGTTGCCAAAGGCTTTGAGTCTCGTCGTCAGCTCATCCGATCCAGCCGTATTAAGCCTTTAATCCCTCGACGGATTATCGGAGGGGAGACGATGACATCGCCTCACCGCTAAGTGGAATGACAGGGCTGAGGGAATCAAGACTGAGGATATTGGATGCATTTGAAAGCACGTTATCCTTGGCCCGTGGACCGCTACTCAATTTCCTGGTCACGTGTCGAGCTTTACATAAGTACGCAACGCATCAATTTTTTTGGCATCGTCAATGCAGGACCGGTTGAAGTCAAACAGTTGAAACGGATGGATCGAATTGATGTTTCCTCCCGAATTACTTAATTAGACGAATGGAATATTATTTACTTACTATTACTGAAGGAACCCAACGAACCTCATCTGAGAGCCCGATCCTGCGCTTGTAAAAGTTCCCTCCGTCGGTGGCGATCGTGAGCGCCCCCATTAGCAGCTCGATGTCCGGCCAGTCTGGATCGGCGGCGTGGGACGTGTTCACGAAGGCGACGCCCTCGAAACCCGTTGGCGATGAGAGTGGTCCTGAAACGAGAGATTTCTATGACGAGCACGAGTAAACATTGTCGCCGTTTCTCATATTTTCTAATCCAATTTTGCGAAATTCCTCGTTGAAAACGTCTTTGGGTTATGGCAGTCTCCTGTGAAAAAATGCACTTGGAAAGCGCCGGATCCACTGCCTGTAGTAGCGTTCTCATTTATTAAATACCTCGGCAGCACAATACATTGGGCCCACGTTGGCTGCGAGTGGGAAAAAGTGGACCAACATTGCAGTGGGCTGCCTGTGTTGGCCCCACATTAGCACTAGGGCGGCAGCCTACATTTGTCGTGACTGAGGATGCGACATCTATCTCAGTTATTTGAAAAAAGAGCTTCCACAGAATAAGCGAGATGGCAGGTATGCAGCCTCCATTACAATAAAAAGCTTTCTACATTTAATGCGAGGTGGCGACTATACAGCCGCTGTTTCAGTGGGATCAGTGAGTGATTCATTCATTTAAGGCCCCAGTTCCTTTTTTGCCGTACTAGATCCATTTCCATTGAGAAAGTAAAGGAAGACACTTGAATTTCTCAGTTCATTTTTTTAAAACAGATCAAGCAGTCCAAAATTGTTAATCTTGTTAATCTTGGAGGAAGCTTCAACTTCATTCGATACAGGGAGGATGAAACAAAGGGGGGAGGTCAGGAGCAAGAGGAGGAACTGAATAATTACTTATAATTACTTTAGTAATTATTACTAAATAATTACTTAAATCCAATCTCTATCGAAACCTCCTAAAACCTCCTGAATGTCGTGGCGCATTTGGCCCAACGTGGGGCTGTGGGACGAGCCTATGAGGGGGCAACGTTGACCCGATAGGGCCAACATCGGCAATGTGGAATTCCAACATGGGTCCAACGTTGGCCCAATGTACATGTGCTGCCGGGGATATTTTCCCCCAATATTATATAAATTTATTCCCAGAGGATGCGACACCGTTTTCCTATTTTCCATCGCTTCATCCAGAAACAGAGCTGGAGGTTCCCAAACTCTCTGCACTTGGTTTAGAAGGTTCCTCTAACATGTAGGAATCACGGCGCGGGAGGGAAGGAAGTTTCTGGAGGAGGGAGAAAAATGGCCTGAGGAAAATTCAGGAACCTGAATGCTGAAGAAATTGGCTGATTTAACTGAGAGATGATTGATGCGGATTATAACTCATGAAAAGCGGCATTGTCTACTTTCCATATTTAAATTAAAATTTGAATTGGATTTTTTCAGGGTGGCACCAGCACCTGGGTGATCCTGCTGTCAGCCGCCCTAGCTGCGGCATGAACTTTCAAATCCATATTATTTCTTTTCTTTTTTTCTTTACCGAGTCCAAACTCGCTGGTTCTGCTCACGAAATGCCGCATCGATAGAGGTCTCACTCTATAGGCATGCACGGCCGATCACCGATCTAACACCAAGGGATTATGCACTAGCACCGGCACGAGTTGACAAAGAGACCCACCCTCGCCGGTCTTGAGGAAGTTCTGCACGTGTTGGATAAACTCGGTGGTGAGGAGCTCGGGGACGAAAAGGCCAGAATTTCGAGTGAAACCGAAGTAGAGTCCACCGGGTCCCGCGTGGCTTTGCAGGTTCTCTCCCACCGGAAGATCCACAATCGGCTGGATCTGCATAAAAAAATGTCAATTTCGAGAAGAAAATGAAGCATCAATCAGTATAGGGCGGCCCCCTCCCCCAAAAAACGGAAGCCAGTGTATTATAATAATATGTGTGATTATAATAAACGTATGTAACAGCTATAAAATATAAATGCAGTTCTCAGAGGGGCATGGCCCGTCAAGAATTGGCTATTGTCCGATTAATATCTTCAGCGGGTTACATTTCTTTAAATTGTACTTTTCTCGCAACTTAGGTAAGGTCTGCATAATTTTCGCAGAATCATTTTTTTCCCGATCTTTCGCCAGACTTTTGCAAAATGAAAACTGCTTAGGTGAGATGGTGAGCAACTTGGCAATTGTTAACTTCTGGCAGAACGAAGTGCAGAACGTTATTGGACTTCACCTGTTGCCTTAAAATAGCCACGTTGCAGAACCTGTCGATCACCTTGTATGTCAAATATTATTTTTAAAAGTTCTGAAACAAAATCAAGAACTTTGAGATTTAAGAAAGGCAATTGTCGATCGTTGGCAAACCAAGCCCCATCGGCCAGTTGCTGCGCGCAAGTGGCCAAGGGCACTCTCAATTGCAGGCTACCATCGATTTCAGTCGAGGAAACCTGGAATTTCCTCATATGGAAAATATAAGAAAAATCATATTTAATGAGGGAAATGAATTTTGCGTCACAGGTGCCATCTACGGACATGAATTTCCTTTTTTTCTGGTACAACCAGTGCATCCGTGAGTCCCATCGAGTTCCCCTACGTATTGGTATGTTCACCTTTTCAAAAGGGCGAGCTGAAACCGTCCTGTTAAATTTTAGGTTCAATGAGTTCATTCATTTTATATCCAGTGATATTGTATTCCGTTTATAAATAGCGCTGTCTCCAAATTTTAGTAAACTTCGTTCCACTCTCATGATGCAAGTCCAGGACATTTTGATCTGAATGCTCTCAGAAATGTCGTACCTCGTGAACGAGACTTGAACCTGTACGTAGAAAATTTATCCTGCATAACAGTCAAATAAATTCATTGTTTCAGAGGGAATTCCTATAGGAACGTGAACTTAGTCATAGCGACACGGAGGAGGAATGCATCATGCACCTACACCGTGCTTTTTGAGTTCCTTCTTGGGTCCGATGCCGGAGAGCATGAGGATCTGAGGAGAAGCGACAACCCCGGCGGACAGGATCACCTCCCTCGTCGCCGAGACGAAATGCCTCGAGCCGTTTTTAGTCAGGTACTCGACTCCCTTCGCTGTCTTCGTTGTCTCGTCTATCACAATCTGCGTTGAGGAATGAATATTGCATGGTAAGAAGCCAGGAAATCCTTTTGATCATGGAAAAATGCATTGGGAATGGATCTCGCGTGACGCCAGTTGATTTCCAGAACAACGAAAATCCGAGAACGGGGCTTGGCAACTGAATCTCGACTGCTATGGGAAAAAATTAGGATTGTCCCGACGCATCCATCGATTCATGGATGTCATTTTCGATAGTTGGAGGCATAGTAAGTTTAACAATAATAATAATAATAATAACCCGTTGCGACGGTCACGCCTCTCCCTCTCACGCCGCGATCGAGGCAAGAAACGACGGAAGTGAAACCTTTCTCCCGATCGCGACCAGAAAAGACCGAGTCTGTCTTCACCCTTTCCCCAACTCCGTGTGCATCGATGCCCTATAGATATTTCAGGCCGATATATCGAATTTTTCGAAACACTCAGCCTTAAAAAATAAATGTCAACTTGACTTTTAAATTTCAAAATAGGTGTATTTGAATAAATATTTGGCATAATGGTCTTCACTGTTTCTCTCCACGTCACAATGGACACCGGTACCAGCCGAGAGGAATAAGATCATCGACCATTGGTCCATCGGCCAAATGTGACCATCGGTATAGCTCCATAAAAACATGCCTCTGTCCTCATCTTCCTACTATTTAAATACACATTTACGAGGAACGTCAGGATATCATATCCGGACACTTTCAAAACGTTCCTCCCTTATTTCCCAATGTCAAGGCGTCTCTCCTCCCGAGAGACACTCACTCACCCTGGAGACCGGAGCGTTGAGGAGGATGTGGAGGTTCCTGCGGTTCCTCACCGGCCTCAGATACCCTGTGGCCGTGCTGTATCGCTTGCCTCGGTTGGCTGCCACTTGCACTCTGCTGAAACCTGTCCAGCAGTCACCTTTAGTAAGCTTCGCTTGACACGTCCTTAGTGAACCGTTACGTTCCCTTTTACTTGTTCCTCCTGTATTTCTACATTTATGTTGCAATACAACAGTTTAGCGAAACCTTATTTGTCTCTTCAGTTATTTACGTAATTGAGTCTGTGCATTTCTTAAATATTTTCCCCCCAATATACCTCGGTATTGCAGGAAATGTAGGCGAACATTGAAAGGAATATGAGAACCGATTTTTTTTACGATTCCCAGAGAAGAGCTGATAGAAAGGAGATTGTTTTTAGCGCCGCGATCTCATGGTTTTCCTTTCCCAGTCTCCTGAAGCCAAAAGCAGAACGTGTATGAGGCGAAGATCCACGGATGAATTAAACGTGGGACATATTCGCATTTCGTCAGCAACTCCGAAGGCACATTCAGTTTCCATGTTTGTAAGAAGTCACGGGAATGAAACGCGTGTTTTCGCAGACCTTTGAGCATGCCTACACTTTTTTACAGAAAAAAATTGTTATGTGTCCGTATACGTTGCTCAGATAGGGCATTGGACAAAGCCAGAACACCAAGAGCGATATAACGCGAATAAATTTCTATTTAAGAAAATATTTAATGCATCCTATTTGAAAGACATACCCCTCTGAGAAGCGCCGTTGTAGTCCTTGTTGTGAGGAAATCCCAGGCTTTCCCCCGCCTTGATGAACGCCGGCAGCACGTCCGTGACGTACGTGTGAGACACGGGGAAGTAGCCTCCAGTCCCGTGGTAAGGAGCGTCTCCTGCACGAACACGCATCGGAAAATCATCTTGTGAGATTTTTCCTCGGACAGATTAAGTGAACTTTCCTAGTAACTAGGAAAGTTCACTAGGAAACTAGGAAAGTATTACAACTTGTAATAAATATTTTTTCGTTCATCTCTCGACTGATTCTGGACATCACATTTCGGCGTTCCATGTGGGAGACCTTGCCCTTGAACTTAACAGCATATTGCACGAGTCGAAAATTAGACATGCTAATGGCGTTGTGAGTAATTAGTAGACACTAATTCAAATTTGTGTCTACTGCCGAAAATCACTCGGAGATCATGCGGCCATCTCACAAAAAATTCAATTCAATGAAGGTAAACATATTGAACGCCGACGCTATAACTGAAACATTTTAATCCTCCAGTTAATTTCACAGAGTCTTAGAAATTCCGACAACTTCCTTTTTTTTTAATATGGTCAATGGTATTTCCGTGTCACATCGTCAAAAAATTCTGGCCCCAGTTCTCTGGTGAACAAAATTCTACAGAGGTTGAGGGGGGTATAAGACGAGGATATGGTCGGGGAGAATTTTTATGAGACTTCCTGTTTCGTCTAAATGACTGTTCACTCGAGCAATAGACCTTTCGGTTGCCCAGGATGGGATTCGTCTCAAAAATCTTTTTCGACTTGCTCAGAATTTTCAGTAACATATAGAAATATTAAGTAACATATAAAATAAAGGTGTCATGAGAGCTTTGTGTCTGAATACATATTTTCGCATGAATTTCCCCGATTCAATTTTTGCTATGTGTAAGTTATATTATTCCTATTATGTTTTCCATCCACTGCCCGACTCTTAATCCGTCGTTCGTGAAACTGGCCGTGTAATAGATCTGCGAAGAAAACCGGACGAATGAGGATGGCAAGGCAAAGTTCTTGTCTCACTTTTCGGGACGTCCTCGACGAGAAAGTTCTCAGCTCTCTTGAAGAGGGGGAGGATGTCTCTGAAGGACCAGCCAGGATTCCCCAAGGCGGCCCAGTTGTCGTAGTCCTTGCGGTTTCCTCGCGCGTATATCCCGCCGTTCAAGGCGGAACTTCCTCCCAGCATCCGACCCCTGAACCAACGGCATCTCTGATGGTGCAAAAACAAAACTAAATAAATTTTTCTGCAGCGATGAATCTTTACACTTGTGGGGGGGGAGGGGCAATTCGCAAATGACCTTCTCACTGAAATGTTCAATAATGGTTTTGAAGAATCGTGATCAGTGGGTCATTGACGAGGCCATGACGTTGAAAATTGCGATTCAGCATTGACTAATTTTAATTTTCCTGAGTTATTAACATCATTTCTTTTCTCAGCGACATCACTTATTGCCAAAGTAGCACAAGAACGTTCCGGAGGATCCTCAACCACGACTCAAAGAGGTTCCTTGACGTTCAAGGTTCGGGGATGAGCAGCTTTTGGATGATAATTTAAGGCGCCTTTTGATCACCAAAACATGACGTTCTTCAAGGACGCTCGTTGAACGTTGAAGAGGGTTTTTTTTTTAGCATAACAGTGCTATCGAACTGACAAGTGGCTGTAAATAAAGGTTCACACAACTGACGCTTGATGTCGCCAAAGTAGCCGCTATAGTCAGTACCTCATATATCAGTACCTCATACAAGTTTTCAAACTTTCCTATTTACGATATTTACATAAAAAATAGTTTTTTTTAATACTTGTGGCTCTAAATAAAGATAGCTGGATTCCTAAAAATGGATAGGAATTACCGGACTTACCCCTTCTTTTATAGCGAGGCATGAATCCTTCTGAGGTTCGCTGGTGTAGCGGTAGTCGAACTTGGTGTACCACCACATGAAGGAAGCAAAGGCCGGGATGAAGGATAACAAGGATCCATCCGACCCAGCCTCGATCAGCAGCACCTTCACGCGAGGGTTCTCCGTCAACCGGTTTGCTATCACGCTCCCGGTCGTCCCTCCTCCGACTTAACAAAGTAGAAGCAAAGCAGATTTTATCAATTTCAGTTATTTTTTTCACGAAAATGAAACAGTCTTGAAGTGTTCCAACAGCACTCTACAAAATGGGACTCTTAAGTTTGAATGAAATTCATATTCCCTCATGGAGTAACCTGTGGGACTCATTACAGAATACAGAGAAAAGCATTTGCAATTCTCGACCGAGAGGTCTCGAGACTCTGATTCTGCTTAATTGATGAATACTGAGCTTCTGCTTAGTAAGATGAAAACCGCTGTCGGTCTCCTCCTCCCCCTACCACTCAGTCGCGCACAAACATCCACAATCACCCACAGACACGCGCAATCACGCACAGACGCTCACATTCACGCACAAGTGTTTGTTAGGCGGGAGGGTGGTCCAACGGGGAAGAGCTGCGTGCGAGCATTCGTTCCCTGGAAATTGGTAATTAAACCTCCCCCCCCCCCGCGTTCTCCGCTTCAAGCAGTATGTCGTCTTCCAAATTAAAAATATATATATTTAACTAATTTGGTGCATATCACGCTAATTCCCTTGCACCGTTCTTCTACTTGAGACACGTTCCTCGATGGACACAAATGAAATTTGAAAGATGAATTAACATAAGGCTTAACTCCCCATGTCAGACCGTCTCCATTTCCGAATGGCCTAAAATTATTTTCTCTCCATCTTTCCTCGACGCAGCGTTCCTTGATCATGGTGATGCAGGCTCCCGTTCCCTAATTTATTTGATTGTAATGGATTGGTATCGCTATGCTGGGGAATGTGTTTTTTTTTCCTTTTTTTTTGGGGGGGGGGGGCTCCATCATTAGAGGAATCCCAATGCGCTCATGGCTATAATGCAACAGCCTCATGAACCCTTCCTTCAATTCCTCCTCTGAACAATTACTCCGAGCTGCCCTTGACTTCGTCTCTTCCCTGAATACGACCATCCTCCTCCTCCAGACATAACCTCCTCTCCAGGAAGGCTGCACCTCCAACATTTCATCGATGAGATCTAGCTGTTCCGCCCGGTGACAGGAAAGCGAACGAGGGAATCGTCAGTTCTAGGTGAAGGGGAAGTCATGGCGGGAGGGGGCGAGAGTTCTACATTAATGTGATAGGAGGAGAATAAATGGATCGCATCACTCGTTAGCCCAGTACGTCTTCACGGATGGCGTTTTCCAACCAACTTCATTCTGAACCCGAGTGCTGGGAAGGGAGAACCTCCTCCATGGGAAGGGAGAACCTCCTCCATGGGAAGGGAGAACCTCCTCCATGGGAAGGGAGAACCTCCTCCATGGGAAGGGCGAACTTCCTCCATGGGAAGGGAGAACCTTCTTCATACCTTTGCTGAGCAAGCCAGCACCACGTGAAGATTATCAGGGTTTCCTCGCTAACCTTCGAGCGTTGTGCACGTGCATAATTGCAAAAGTGCATAATTAGGTTTTCTCCATCCCATGTGCGAAATTCCACGGGCGAAAAATGAGCTGATTTCATTGTGCATGTCATCCTGTTTCCGAATAACATCAGGGATATGGCTGATGCAGCAACAAAGGGACAAGGGGCTGGTGTAATGCAACAGGATGGTGTAATGCAACGGGAAGTCGCAGCAACTCGGATGAGCTCGCGCGGCCTGAACGATTTTGAATCGACGCTTCATCAGTACGATGAAGCGTCGATTCAAAATTGTTGGCTGAACACTTACCCCCGCGAATCGATACATTTCCCAAGGTCAAATGTACTGCCAGCTCGTTCGAAGAAGGTCCAAGATGTAACCGACGTTGCGTTACACCCTCTTGGAGCGCTTTTTCGTCGCCCCGTCCCCTTGAGCCTTCGCCTCAGCATTTCTCTGATTTTTTTTCGGAGTCGTTTGACACGCACAGTGGAATCGGCCCATTTTTCGTCCATGGAAACCTGAACTTACCTGAAAGTACCTAATTAGGTACTTTCACAGCGCTCAAAGGTTAGCGAGTAACCAAGCGCTAATAATGTTTAACCGGCGGTGACTCGCTCAGCATAGGGCAGATATACCGGTAACAGATTACGCGAACGAGCATAATACCGTTATAATAACGAGCATAATAACGTTACCTTGTAACGTTTACTTTGGACGCCAGTAGAGTTAAGCGGAGTCCTTCATGGCAGTAGTCACTGAAGATCTGCGTCCACAAATTGTAAATTCCCCTCTTCTCACCCGAGTAATCTGGATCCGATCCCGAACCCGTGGTAGCACCATCAATTTTAAACCATGCATTGTTTAGAAGAGAATCTTAGGAAGAGAATGAGGCCGATTCCAGTTTTTCGCGGAAGGATGCCGGAGGTATGAGCCTTTGTGGAGACACGCGAAATTGCAACCGTTGACCTTTCCACATCAGTGACCTTTGACCTTTCCACACAATTAACATTTGACCTTTCCACACCAGTGAACCAGTGACCTTTGACCTTTCCACACCAATCGCCTTTGACCTTTCCACACAATTAACATTTGACCTTTCCACACCAGTGAACCAGTGACCTTTGACCTTTACACACAAGTGACCTTGGAGCCTTTCAAAAGTGGCTCTCAGGCCCACTTTCGAGGTTCCTGGGAATAATTAAATAGCGAAATTTCTATCCCGTGGGATCAATGCAGCTTAACTTCTTTAATTCCAGTATTTTTCGCTCACCGATGACGAAGTCGTACGAGTCGTCTATCCGAGTCTGCCTATTGAGAAACCCGACGGGATTGTCCACCTCGTTGACGGGGAAGATGCTGCTCAAGATGACTCCCACGAGCTGGACTATTTTCCCCATCATTCTCAATCCGTTTCTTTGATTCTCCATCCTGCAACAGCGCGGAGACTACTGAAGAAATCGCCTTAAGTCACTCCTAACATACTGTTGAGCACCGGCAGGGTCGCCGGGCCATGGGGAGTTGGCCCGCCGCAAATGGACCAACCATATACCAACGATGGCCCATCTACGGCTTTTATACGCGTCGACGAAAAGCCATCGATGGCCCGATGACAATTTTTTTTCCTGGGAATCGGGGACGACTTTAGATTCGTGTGAGCTCCGTTATAAATGCGTGTCAACGCGAGTCTGAAACGAAGACAGAAACCAATTGCTGTGGGCCATATCAGAGGTTCGCACCGCCAATGGGCATTCCCACTTTAAGCCCTTCAGGACAAAATATATTGCAACTCCAATACAAGTTCAGCTTCTCGCAATTTTTCGGGGAAACGGTAACGGACGTTCTAGAATGTAAATTCTTAAATCGACTCCACTTTCGATACTGCCAGGCAAAACGGAACAGAACGGAACGGAACAGAACGGAACGGAACGGCTAACCTTTACGTGACGATGTTCCTCTCGGTTGAAGCAAAAAATACCAGCGGCAGATGCGACCGCTGTGCCAAGCGAAGCTGTCGGAATCGGTCCTGCTCGCCGCTCGTTATAAGAAAAGGACCGGAAAGAAAAACTTGGCAACCGTGAAACCTTCCAAGGTCGATGAGTTATTCGTCGTCGGGGGGGGGGGGGGGGGGGGGGGGGGGGGGGGACTGGCGTGACAGGTTTTCATTCCGATTCCGAACCGGGAAGTGAGTCTCATCGGATTTTTGAACGATAAATTCGGGCCCGTTCTCCTTCCGGAATCTGATTTAACCGGAAAATCTTGGATTTGAGGTTTCCGAAGAGGCTTTGGATTTTCGTGGTTTTATATTTTCTTCTTTGTTCTATTTTTGCCTTCTATTCCTATTTGTTATTCTTATTTATTCATTCTTAGGGATGTTCCTTTCCCGCTTTTTCGATCCTGCAAAAAGTTTTTTTTTTTCGCTTAAAAAAGGAAAATGTCTTTTTGAAGCTTCGCCAACTCCAGCTTTGCCAATTCGAGCTGTCGTGCCAAATCCGGTATGAATCGGAGGCACCGGCAGGTCGCCGCTCCCCGCCGGCGACAGTCGACGAACTTGAACGCGGAAGGCAGGCAAGGCGACGAGAGATCGACTCAAGGTCTTCAGACTTCCGGGAACGGGTTAAGCAATCCATCAGGGTGAACGAGTGAAGTGAACCTCGTCCGCGCAATCCTGTTACGCGAGGTCTGATCGAGAATTACCGAGATTTAATTTTTTTCCATTGGCGCTGTTGTGACTCTTCCGGCCGCGAATCCTTCGAAGTCGTCCTCTCCGGCGCCGGCACACCTTTTCCGGCGTTTCCTCGGAATCCTTCGCGTTCGCAACGCAGCACAGAACGAACGCACAAGCCTCCTTCCATTCCATCGCAGCCAATCAGGGAGCAGAAGGGAACCAATGGGAGGCGGACGATGAAGCGTGGGAATCGCCGGGTTGGTCAGAAATGACCGAAAATTTAAAACGCGTTGGCCCTGGGCGTTGACATGCTGCAGATTCCACGACCTTATATGTTGACGTGAATACGTTCACTCGCGAGCCAAGCATCAATCATTTCGTTTGTGATTCTCGCAAGATATTGCTGGTCAGCTTACATTTATCGATTAGGAATGGAATTTCTGGGTGACCATGTTTTCCTCCGCCTCGCTGTAGGTATTACAGGGTGCTCCGTATGTCCAGTTAACCCAAGATGTTTCTTTCAATGCTGAGGTTTGTTTTTTTTTTAGGCGGAAACCCTAGGCGTGTATATTTCAGGCTTTTACCTGCTTTTAATCATATGGTACTAATTAGCATCATGCCATTATTTGTTATTTCCCCTTAGCCTTCGAGGCTCCCTTCAGTTCACTTCCGATGGCTCCTCTTACTATTTCCCCTTCGTCGGAAGCACGATTGCGAAATTCGGATGAACCTATTCAGGCAGTCCATTCCATCCCTATGGCCCTCGTTTCCAATATATAGCCTCTCACCTTTAATTGATGCTGACCACATTTCGAAGTCACTAATTCCACTGCCGAAATCATGAATGGCACCGTCGCCGTGCAAGCATTTGCGAGTGATGTCTGGAAGCCGTCAAGTCTAAAAGACCTTCAGCTCAGCCGGTGCTAACAGGTCCTGTCTAGCAAATAACTTTCTTCGGTTTTCTACGAATCTCCCCTGGTCCCTGTTTGCGAAGGTTATGGTGCACACGTTGACCCCATCGACAGCTAAATTGACCTTGTAATTTCTTGCTACATGCTAAAAGTAATCAGTGTAGCCAAATAAATAGTGTTCTTATTCTATCGTATCACACGAGAAACACAATTTAAAGTACTTTACGAAACACATAAGGTAACGAGACGAATGGAGCACCCGGTAGAATAGCAAGAACTGTAATAACTAAGTTGGTTAATGTGTAGTTTTGTGAAACAGTTGATCGACATTGAGGAGTGAAGGAACGAATATCAGGGAGTGTGATATTAATTTAATAAGAAATTTATTAATTAATAAAATATCTATTAAATAAATAAGTGAAGCTATTAATTTATTTAATAGATATTTTCAAATTCGGTTGTGACCTTTTCACCCGGCATCCCATTATATTGTCCAAAAGCCCTGCAATAGTACTTGAAACAAAATTTGTCTGTGAGAGACAACGGGTGGCGAATGATTTCGTATTGTGGATGATTTCCAGATTTAAATGCGCCTGAAGTTTCGTTTAATAGTGATAACGCTGTCAGGGGGGTTTTGTAAGCCGCCGAATTCTTCTTCTTCCAAGTCACAAAGTACTGTGGATGTGGAAAGGTATTTCTCATTCGGTCTTCCACGAAAATCATAACCGATGCGAGGACTTGATGAGGTCGGAGGCCTTCTCCCCGATCATGATGCATGCTGCCATGGTATTGCCGGAGACGATCGCCGGCATGATGGATGCATCCGCCACTCGCAACTGCCTCACTCCGTAGACCCTGGACAAGCGACGAGGTATCTTATCCATATGTTACCAGGTTCATGTGAGCCTAAGGGTTGATCAAACCCGATAATTGTTTCCTTTTTAAGACATAGTCCAGCTGCTTTCTTGTTGTAACTATGGAAGCATCTTGTAAATATAATACATGTGTTCCAGAACTTCAGAAGAGAAGTTTACAACATAAATATGCATACTTCACTTAATTATGAATTAAATCATTGCAGGAGGCATGTAATGGAAATTATTTTTATTTTTACATTACTTCGATGAAAGAGCTTACCTCAGGGGTCCACGAATCGAGTTCATCCGTTCGGTCTTCCTTGCGCCGAAGGGGAACAATCGGGCGGGATTCGGAAAAGTTGCCAACGTTCCACGTTGAATCAACGCTTTACGGAACGTGACCTCCATGGATTTTGATGAAATTTGGACCAAAGCTCTGCATTATTCAGATAGTGAGAAATCCGAAATACTTTTGTCCTCTGTCGCTTAGATCTAAAGATAAGAAACGCTTAAGATAATGACTACTTCGTTACCTTTACTAATACATTTTAACTTCTCTTCTCCTCAAGGTGGAGATATGGCTTTTGTTTCTTCTTCTCCTGCCCTTCTCGATAGTATTAGATTTGATAGTAATATCTAAAAAACATTAGACGCTGCGATAAAATCGAAATTCAAAATTATGACGTAATTTAGCAAATATATCTCATCTTTGATTTCAACTAAATTTGGCTTACAAGCTTGCCTCTTTAGGTAAGGCATGTCTGCTAAGATTCATCTTAGGATATCCATTTTTTTTAGCTATAAACAGCTTTGCCTCTGAAAAGTAAAAAATTTTCTCCGATCATGTAACGCATAGGGTTTTCATGAGACTTATTTAAGTCAAATGTATGATCCGGAATCATATGTATTTTTTAGTATATATGATCCCAATACGATCTGCTCTTGACCATAACGACGACATGGCCATCGTATCAAACTTCAATGTCGCTGTCATCACCAATGGGATATTTTGAATAAGAGTCTTTCAAGGACAAATCAACACACTACAAAACATGAATTTCTCCGATTTAGATTAAATTTAGACCAATGCTCTGTATTATTGAGACTATGAGATATCGGCACATTTTCCCTTTCAATCCATTAGAAACATAAGGGATTAATACAAATTGAATATTTTGTGACACAGTGGCACCCGTATCCCTAAAAATCGTTATGCATTTTCCAAAGTTATTTTTAATTGCTAAACAGTGGGTTGACGCGAGTCTCGTTCTCGAACCTACATGGAATCAGACCGACTCTTGCACCGACAAGATTGATTCCGTTCCTTGATGAATCCACATGCCAGCACTAGTGCTGGTAGACGGTCCGTGGCAGACAGCACAAAGCAACTACACAACCATCGGATGTGCAATCGGTGCATAATCCATGCAAATTTTTCGAGACACCTGACGTTATGTGCGCGGTTAGCATAGGGGTTAAGAGTTGACTGTAACGGCAAGCAGTATCAAGAAATGTTGAGGCAGCATTTCTTGCCTTTTTATGCAAGTGTAAGAACTCCGAGACTGCCGCCGGCAACAAGAGATGGCGCCAAGAACTCTCTACCCTTCCAGCAACATGTTAAACCTCTTCTCTGGAGCGACCCCGTCGGTGCTCTGACCCCGTGCCAACCCAGCAAGTACAATGGCAATCACTTCACGACGAGCTGCCTGGAACGTAGGATGAATCATGGGGAACATCGAGAACTCCAGAGAGAAATGCCCTTATCTTTTCGCTTACTTTTCATTAGCAGGCGTTATTCAACGCTGAGGCACGGATCAAGATATCGCTAAAGAGCGGATTAGTAGTGGAGAATTTCAGGTATCGCTGCCGAAAACGGATTAGCGCGTCCCGGGATGGAAATGGAGAAGATCGATTAAGATCACGGAAGCGCGCTTTGACGGCGGTCGCCTAGTCCATTAGCATGCATTGGTGTATTATAGTGTTTTATTGGTGTATTATATTCTTAAGCGTTTGCTTTTCGATGAAGTTATAAATCACCCTTGTCCATTTCATAGTGATACTTGGGTTGTCGCATTGACCCCAACTTGTCGGCTCGAGGTGCAACCCCCCCACCCCGATCCGGCCACGTCAGCTACACTAGATAGACTTACGCTTCTAGTTAAATTATTAATTTTTTTTAATTTAATAATTTAAATTTAAATTATTTTTAAATGTAATTAAATTTTCCTTTGGGACATTTCTCACGCGATCGTACCTAAGAGCGGGATCCACCACGGCTCCTGGATCGGTAGGAGGCCCCATCTTGCACGTGCCGACATCATGCCAGAGCAAATACGTGAACTGCCGCATGTGACACTCCCAGTACCTTTTCGTGAACTTTTCCAGGTGCCTGCAACCCGGCAGGGGTTCACTGTAGAACTCCGCACCGAGTCTCTTGAACGAGGGCTGCTCTGCCAAGCGCAGCACGAGACGAATGGCTAGAAATATTTACATTAAAAAACTGAATCGTGGCAGTACCTTTATTTAAAATAATAATAAAAAATTTGGGCTTCACCTTCGATGACGATCTGCACGTCTTCCGGTTCCTTGAAGTGGTTCGCGACGATGATCGGGTGGTCGCGGATGCTGCGTCCGCGGAGCAGAATCTTCCCGCGGCTTTTCGGTCGCGTGGGATGGAGATGAATTTCAAAGCCAGGCCGGAACTTCAGTCCCCTGTAAGTGCTCCAGGCCTGATGGAGAAATGGGATTCTGTTCTTCATGCGCTACATAGGAGTGTTAATAGATAGATGCTTCCACTTGAAAATGTTGAATATTTAATTATGTTTTATATAATTGCTATGATTAATAGTTTCTTAAATTATTTTAATATTTCATTGTTAGAAATAATTTGAATATTAATGTTTAAATAATTATTTAGATAAATATTATCTGAATACATAAATAATTTGAATGCCTTAACTCTCGCTTACTTCATGAGTTTAACGACTGTATCAGAAATACGAAATCTCCATTCATCTTGAGAGATGCAACGAGACGAACCTCGTCGGTAAGCCCGATCCTGGATCTAAAAACCAATCCCCCGTCGGTGCCGATGTTGAACGGGCTGAGGAGGAGCTGGGTGTCCGGCCAGTCCGGATCGGAGGCGAGGGAGGAGTTGACGAAGGCGAAGCCCTCGATCGTGCTCGATGAGAGGGGCCCTTGAACAGCGAATCGGCGAATTGTTAGAAATTCTCGTTCTCTTTCCGGCCGTGTGTTCGGGCGGTGGCATGCGATTGGATCCTCCATGTGGCTCGTGATCCCTTCACCATTACTCTTTCTACTCGGATGTACCTTGTACTAGTAACTTGTAACTAGTAACTTGTAACTAGTAACTTGTAACTAGTAACTTGTAACTAGTAACTTGTAACTAGTAACTTGTAACTAGTAACTTGTAACTAGTAACTTGTAACTAGTAACTTGTAACTTGTAACCATTAACATGTAACCAGTAACCTGTAACCAGTTATCTGTAATCAGTAACTTGTAACCATTAACATGTAACCAGTAACCTGTAACCAGTTATCTGTAATCAGTAACTTGTAACTTGTAGATGTACTGCACGACTTGGTGCATCCTTGGTCGGATGCTGCTCCGGAATAATTACGATTCTTTGCCGGTACTGACGCTTGCAATTTCGACCGAAGTTTGAGATTTGTTTCCATGTTTAACTAACTCAGACCAGATTCTCGCAATTTCAATCAATCCGGAATCAATTACGGAGAGGGCAATCACTTTGAAAATCGAGAAAATTTCTTGCTTTTCCAGCCAACCTCGCAAGGGCATGCAACCGGGCGCTCTCATAACTGACTGGAGGCCTACCGTCGCCATCGAAGACGTATTTGAGGGCGTGAGGAATGACATCGAGGAGAATGTGGGGGATGAAGTTCCCCCAATTCCGGTCTAAAGTGAAGGAGAGTCCCCCTGGACCCGCATGGCTCTGCAGGTTCTCCCCGACTGGAAGGTTCACCAGGCATTTGATCTGTTTGGAGAGGAAGTTGAATTCAAAAACAGACATCGAAGCACCAAAATTCAGTGCAGTCCCTTCGAAGCCACTTTCCACCTGGCACGATAAAATGCAGGTAGGCAGAACATGCGACAGGCAATTCTCTAGATGAGCAGTTCTTATTCAGATTATGTGAAAATTAATTTACATCGTTCTTATCCTCTTTGCATCGAGGACAATCACTTTATGACCATTCAGGCCACCCGGGGAGCATGGCGTGGACGAAATTTCCGACATTGACATCCGTTCACATTTTCCAGCTTACAGAACTGCAAAGTTGTGATGTCCTGTATCGTAAGAGATGAACTTTTTAACTTGTATTTTTACAAACGTATTTTCTACACTCTTAGAAATGTATTGTCGCTTTCACGCAAGATTGCATGTGACCTTGCTTACCCCATGCCTTTCGAGTTCCTTCTTGGGTCCGATGCCGGAGAGCATGAGGATCTGAGGAGAGGCGACAGCCCCCGCCGACAGGATCACCTCCCTCCTTGCCGATACGAAACGCTTGGAACCGTCTGCCGTGATGTACTCCACCCCCTTTGCCGTTCGCGTCAATTCGTCTACCACAATCTGGTGAAAGAAATGTGCTTATACCGGCCAAGGTATCCCTAGGGAATATTTTTGGGATTCCTGGGAAACGGACCTGATTCACGCGTTGCCATTTAGGAAAATTTTCATTTGGAATTTCATGAGAAGACTATTTGGCATTTTGTCAAAGAAACGCCTCGAGATTTCCCGTTTCATCGATCCTCAACTGACACCCACTCACCCTGGCGACGGGGCTGTCGAGGAGGACGTGGAGGTTCCTGCGCTGCCTCGCCGGCGTCAGGTACGCCCTGGCGGCGTTGTACCGGATCCCCCCCTTGGCCGCCAATTGCACTCTGCTGAAACCTGTCCCGGCATTCGAATAGCCGAAGTGAATGCAAATTTTCATCAGGGCAGAAACCGAGAATAGGAATTTGCACAATTCCCGAATTCGTCATACTATATTGTTGAGAATTTTGGCATCTTTTTAGATTCTCATTCAGGTCTGTGATATCGTTTGCGAAAGTTGAAGAGAAAATTCCAGTCTCGGCTTTGCATCAGACAATAATCAGCCAGCAAAATTTCCGTGCAATTTTCTTGGCAAGGTTTTAAGAATTAAGAACCCAGTTTATTTTTAAACTTAAAGAAAATAAGGTTGCATGAGTATTTCTCTTGAAATTCACTTAAAATCTCATCGATTTCCTATGAATCCAGACGAATGCTCTGCTTTGAGTCAATTACGCCAAAGAGCCTCTAATTCGTCGCATCTGATTCATATCTGATGATAAAACACATTTGAATCATCCTCGCCGCGACCCGAGGCGGAACCAACCCATCTGCGACGCCCCGTTGTAATCCGGATTAAAGGGAAATCCCAGGCTCTCTCCCGCCTTGATGAATGCGGGCAGGACGTCCGTCACGTAGGAGTGGGATACGGGGACGTTCCCGCCCTTCCCGTGGTAATGGGCGTCTTCTGCGTGGATGGAGAAAGAATTGTTGTTGGAGTTGGGTTGGGGGTGAAATGGTTCCTGTCCGGAACCATTTCAGTTGAGAAATTCTTGTAAAACGTTGGTCTTGTCTTTAAGCGTTACATCTCTCAGTTGCTTTCATAGTTTTCCTTAAATATATTTTTTTTTAAATAGGTATTTGTACGCATCCAGGCAACACACCACGTTGGGGCCACGTTGGCGTTGAGTCTGGGAATGTCGGCCCACGTCGGCGCCAGTGCGGCAGCGACATTTTCCGTATCTGTAGGAGAGGCTATTTATAGATATCTCGGTTATTCGAACGAACAAGATTGCCGTAAGTGTAGCGAGATGGCACCAAAATTTTGGTATCGGGCTCGCTCTTAGTGTCGAGTACTTTTCATGCGGTACCTGATCTCATCACACTGATGACGAAGGGAAAGCATTCATTTTCTCAGGTCCAGTCCAAAATTCAGAAGAAAAAAATCCAGAGAGCACTCGAAATTGTTGAGGAGGATATTGCACCTGATATTGGCTCAGTGATGGACCAACATTGGTCATGATGTCTACGCCATGGCATTTTTGCCAATATCGGCTAAATATTGGCTCCCCGATATTGTCATTCCATCATCGATCCAATATCGAACCGACGCGATAACCCGATGTGTCAAAGTCGCACCTTCTTGGGAAATGTTGAAGCTCACTAGATGGAGATGGAATCGTCCCTCACAGGAGTGCTTATTACCTTGCTATATAAATCTCGCCTATTTTAATCATGGGAATCAATAGACGAGGACATCATTTGTAATTTACAGTTTCGAAACAGAATCATGGAGCCCAGGCCATAAACAAGCTCATATTCTCCATGAGAACCCCTTACAAAGTCAGATCCTCCCAATCTCCCTTACCCTAATAACATGATGGTTACCGTGGGGTCCTTCCATGATTGCCTCATCCTGATGGTAAGTAACAAGAACTGCCAGAGCAGGAAAAATTCGGAAGAGGTATGGATGACGATCCCTAATCCCACGCGGAAATTCCTCTGACGATCGAGGAAGGTAGGTACACTCGCGGCGGTAAACTCAGCCAGACTGCGAGAAATTCAGTGGCAAAGTCCCCGGAAGGGGGATCAAACGGTCACGTACAAATCATAAAGCCTTCTCCACGCCTCTCCTATGCGCCTGGCAGTCACGCCGCACGTCAGCGTTTGATGCTGGCCAATGTGGACGGGTTGGTGTTGGCCCAACGTGAGGCCAGGGGACGGGTTCACGTGGAGTTACCACAGACGCCAAGCGTCGACCCAACGTGTGTGCAGCCTGAGTGGTCTACGGACTTCGAAGGCGAGAATTATCATGGACGCACCATCATGCGATTATGGAACAAATCTGAGCTCGGGTTCCAACGTGTAAAACCGCTGAATGACTAACTCCCATCCTTACCCTCTGAAACACTCGGAACCAGAAAGTCCTCGGCCCTCTGGAAAAGCGGGAGCACGCTGTCGAAGGACCAGCCCGGATTCCCCATGGAAGCCCAGTTGTCATAGTCCTTCCGGTTTCCTCGGACGTACAATGCAGCGTTGATTGCAGAGGTTCCTCCCAGCATCCGGCCTCTGAACCAACGACATCGCTGGCGAGCAGAAAAAAATCGTTAGTGGTAGAAAATAAACCTGCCATCACGCGACTTAGGCCAAAGTACAGTATCATTAAAACTCGAAAAAAAATTATTAGCAAAACTGACTCCTCCTAAGACAATTGCCGAACCTTGTAACCGTGGCATACTTTTAAAAAGTGGCAAATTTCCTGTTACTCTTCTTTTACAAAGTCAATGTAAGCACTCTCGCTCATGATGTCTGCGAAAATGATCAGTTCGCAAGGAGAGTTTAAACGCGTTGACTAGATTCCCTCATTCCCGATAGAATTTCAGCGAAGAGAGCATGGACTTCGTAGAACCCATAGTCCGCTGGGCCTCTCATAGGACGAAAGGTCCAAAACTCATTTCCTTCCGGGAAAATGCCGGCAGTTTATGCCAGTTCTAGGAACGTTAAACTCCGCGTATTTCTTCCAGAAAAAAGCACTTCGACCCCATCTGACGATCAGCACGATCGATTTTCTTGGAAAAGGTTTGCTGAACACCAGAAATGCTTCATGCTGCACTGAAACCCTTAGGACTAACAAAAGGAACAAGAGGCTTGCCATATCACGAGTAGAGCTTCAGTCACTAATAATAAATTTACCATATCTGGTATATATTGGAGGAACACAATTTCCCCAAACCTTGAAGGAGTCGTGTCTCAGACTCAGACGGAATCACCGCATCGAAAAATTGAGCGAAACCGTCCACCATAGAATAAATTCCCCGACATCCCCGGGAAAGGCGAGGACTCACCCCTCCCTGGAGAGCGAGGCAGGAACCCTCCTGAGGCTCGCTGGTGTAGCCATAGTCGAACTTTGTGAGCCACCAGAGCAAGGGCGACAGGAAGGGGATGCAGGAGAGTTTGGACCCGGCCGACCCGGCCTCGATCACCAGCACCTTCGCCGTCGGGTTCTCGGTCAGCCGACTCGCGATCACGCTCCCGGTCGTCCCGCCTCCGACTGCGAGACAAGGAGAGAATGCATTTTTTCACGTCTTTCTCTTTTCTCAGAAGACTTACTTTCGTTGTGGACGATTTTCAACAAAATTATATGAATTTTTTTTAATGGGTGGATCGAGGCTTGAGATGTAATTGTAATTGCAGTCGACTCCCCATACTGGAATACTCACGGGATCAGCGAACTTTATTCTACAGGGTGATTCATAAGTCAGGTTACATAGGGGTAATCCCTATTATTGTTGCAGGTGTGTGAATGCTCGCAGTGATCTCTTTGTCCAATTGAAGAACGCATAGAGGTGGTGTTGTTGGCGGCTAATGGCAGTTACTGACATTTTGCTGAGGTTTTCAACCGGAAGCGCCCAGAATAAAGACCTTCCCTATGTAATCTGACTTATGAATCACCCTGTATAACCCGGAGTATTCCAATAACCGTAACGAGGATATCTGCCGCATCGTACCATTAATCCGTGCAATGGTATTCCATCAACATGAGCATTCCATTGAGCGCCATTCCATTACGCGTACTCGATTGTACTTCATTTAAAAGGTTCGGTATGTCAGGACAATTGCACTGCTGTAGAATCGTTATCGCGCGACGCATCAACTAGAATCTGCAAACATTCGAAAAGCCCAAACCCGTTTGGAACGCGCACGAAACCCGAGTTCGAGAGACGAGCCGGACCTCCACGACCTCCCCCAACTCGTCCCCAACGGCCCGATGACATAACTCCCCGCCTGACGTCCTTCTGGAGGCACTACGTGGGCCTCGCCGCTGCCGAGTCAGCGTCTCCGATAAGCGAGCGCATCGTAACGCCCTTACGACGCCTTCCCGTCCTCTCGGGGCCACGCGAGTGCTCGCGCACGCCCTCCTGCCTTCTCCAAACACTGACTCATGGATCTTCCTCCGTGCCGATTGAGTATTTTCAAGGACGCGCAAGGACGTGCTCCCTCATCTTCTGGCGACCGAATTTACTTTCATGCATGGAGACGTACGTACGTGCATGCATGCACGCACACTCACGCGCGTACGTACGAACATACGTACAGACGAGGCTCGTTCATTTAATTCGCGAACTGATGTGGTAATCGCCCAATGTGACGAAGTTGGAAATCCTGAAATTACTGTAGATATGATGCAATGGAAGGGCGACGTTTCACGGCTGTGGGTAAAACGCGATCCCCCCACACATTCGAGCACCGAACTCATTTTTGCGAGGGCGTTCGAAGCATAGTCGCGGAAGAATCAAACGAAACAGAGATACGTTCTCCGCTGTCGCGTTCGGCGTGGATCGGCGTGCATCAGCGGCTCTTGCAGACGGCGAGTCGAGCCTGCGGAAATGGATTTCTCGAACGAACGAGCGGCATGAGCGGTTTTCTAGGGCTTGCTGAGGACTGTCAGTCCCGACAGTCCTCAGCAACCACGTCATCAGTACTGGAGGAACTGGTACGCAGTACTGGCACGAGTACTGTCGATCTCAGTACGTAGTGCCCGTGCTAGAATGGATCCTCGCTCGCTGAACGCGTTCGCGAAAAACCAATCGGTGCTCGACTGCGGGTGGATCACGTCGCACATGCAGCTGTGCAATGTCGGCCTCATGTTGTCTCGTCC